ATCTTCTATTTTTTGTTTGAATACAAATTCAAAGTAGAAAGCAAGAGTAATATCAGAGGGGCCTGGAGACGCGACTGATGAACAAAGAAAATGTTATTTTAGAGCCAGGAATGTCTGCATTGTTCATTCTGGACCTTATTTTGAAATTGTCATATTTTTTAATTTTCGTGAAATTGGCCAAATAGCAAATTTCTGACCACATTATTGGGTAGTTGAAATCAGTAAATGGGGAGTTTCTTGTACTCAACGATAGAAGAAATGGAGTTCTAAAGAAATAGCTATGGGTTTGGTCGACTGGAACAGTGGAATTAGCTGAAAATAGGGCTCAAACTGGGCGAAATCGCCTACTTGTAAATATCGCCGAGGTTGCTAACTTTGCAAGAGCGTAATTCCGCCAGTTTTCCATCAAATTTTGATTTTTTGGTGTCATTACAATCGGAAAAAGATTCTCTATCATTTCATCAGAAAAAAATAATTTTTTTTTTTAAATTTTGTGTCACCAGGAGACATCTCAGGATTGGGGGTTGTGACAGTCAAGGGGTTAATCCAAAAAGATGATCTCAAATTTCTTTTTCTCATTATGCACCGCATGCTGAAGAATTTGTTTTATATGGTGCACAATTATCACGTAGATGCATTCTCTCATATCTAGGCCGAAATTAACCACTCATAGCTTATATGAGTGAGCTGAGCTCATGGTGTAGAATTACGGCTTGGATTCGGGCTTCAAAGCCATTTATTATATTATTATTATATTATTATTATTATTATATTTTATTATTATTATTATTATTATTATTATTATTATTATTATTATTATTATTATTATTATTATTATTATTATTATTATTGGCTTAAGTCAGGTCAGAGTCACAGTCACTTAATAAGGACCTGCTGGCCCAAGCCAGCAGGTCCAACTCACACCCATCCACACCCACTCATGTATTTGTCTAACATATTTTTAAAACTACACAATGTTTTAGCTTCATTGATGCTACTTGGGAGTTTGTTCTACTAATCCACAACTCTATTACCAAACCAGTGCTTTCCTATATCCTTCCTGTGAGTCCTGTCTTGGTTAGATACTTTGAGCACATTGTTTACATCTCCTTTATTTTATTATTGTTTTTTAGCCAATTCCATTGTGCCAGTCTACCAGATTCTTAGCTATTTTGCTAGTATGCCCTCTATTCTGTTGAATAACCCCTTGACTGTCGCAACCCCCAATCCTGAGGTGTCTCCTGGTGTCGCAAAATTTCAAAAAAAAAAAAAAAATTATTTTTTCTTATGAAATGATAGAGAATCTTTTCCCGATTGTAATGACACCAAAAAAACGAAATTTGATGGAAAACTGACGGAATTACGCTCTCGCGAAATTAGAGACCTTGGCGATATTTACAAATCGGCGATTTCGCCCACTTTGAGCCCTATTTTCGGCTAATTCCATTGTTCCAGTCGACCAAACCCATAGCTATTTCTTTAGAACTCCATTTTTTCTATCGATTGAGTACAAGAAACTGCCCATTTACCAATTTCAACTACCCAAAAACATGGTCAGAAATTTGCAATTTGGCCAATTTCACAATAATTAAAAAATATGACAATTTCAAAATAAGGTCCAGAATGAGCAATGCAGACATTCCTGGCTCTTAAATAACATTTTCTTTGTTCATCAGTCATGTCTCCAGGCCCCTCTGATATTACTCTTGCTTTCTATTTTGAATTTTTATTCAAACAAAAAATAGAAGATTTACTATTATTCAGACTACAATACTGTAATAACTGTATAAATAACATCAACCCATTCATGACTGCATATTAGAATGGCTAGTTGGACATTTATTGGACAATGATGTCATTTGTTTACTTTTGAACATCAGCAAAAATCAAACATTTCCCCTACTTTGAGCTCCATTTCCAGGTTCTTTTTATAGTAAAATCTATCAAAAACATCTCTTTCTATAATATGTTTCCCATTCTATTAAAGGAGACCAAGAAAACGAGAATACAACCATAAATACTATACGAAAATAGACCACAAAGTCGGTATTTTAATTAAAAAACGGTCGGAGTTTTTTTTTCTCATTATGCACTGTGTGCTCCAGGATTTTTTTTATGTGGTGCACACTGACCACACAGACCCATTCACTCACATGTGGGCCTACCAGCTTTCTCCTTCTTGATTTGAAGCCGCTAGAATTATGAGTTAGGTTAGGTTAGATAAGGTTCATCAGGAAACAGGACAAATGTTTCCTGATGCAGGTCTTAGTCAGATGAAGACCCGCCTTTGGAGATTTTGGTCATCTGACCGAGGCCTTCCGCTGGCTTACCGGTCCACCCCTTTAAAAATTATGGTCATTTATAACAATTGTTAATTTATGAGTATATATACGTCAAACACATTACCTCGTAAGACGTATATATACGGCCGCAACAGTCAAAGGGTTAAGTACTGCCCATTCAGCTATTAGACCTACCCTATAAAGTTACTAAAGTCAGTAATTTGGCCAATCTTGCACAAAAAAAAAAAGAAAAAAATTCAATTTAAAAATTCTTCAAAATAATGTAGACATTCCTGGCACTAAAACATTTCTTCTGTTTGTTAATCATGTTCCCAGGCCTCTCCTACATTACTCTTGCCTTCCATTTTGAAACTTATTCACAGAAAAGAAAGATTTATTCTATTTCTTAGATAATAAAATATAACCAGGAATGATTTATCATGGTTTATGGTGTCCTATTAATTGAATCAGACCTATTAGCCCTTTGACTGTTTCTGTCATATATATACGTCTTACGAGCCAATGTGTTTGACATATATATACTCAGAAATTCTAGCGGCTTCAAATCAAGCGGGAGAAAGCTAGTAGGCCCACATGTGAGAGAATGGGTCTGTGTGGTCAGTGTGCACAGTATAAAAAATCCTGCATCAAGCAGTGCATAATGAGAAAAAAAAAAACTCCGACAGTGTTTTTGGATTAAAACGCTGACTTTGAGGTGTATTTTCATATAGGTTTTATGGTTATTTTCTCGTTTTCATAGTCACATTTGACAGAATGGAAAACATATTAAAGAAATAGAGGTGATTTTGATTGGTTTTACTATGTAAAGGATCTTGAAATAGAGCTCAAAATAGGGGAAATGTTTGATTTTTGCTGATGTTCAAGAGTAAACAAGTGATGCCATTGTGCAATAAATGTCCAACTAGCCATTCTAATATGCAGTCATGAATGGGTTGACATTATTTATACAATTATTATATTATTGCAGTAGTCTGCATAACAGTAAATCTTCTGTTTTTTGTTTGAATAAAAATTCAAAATAGAAAGCAAGAGTAATATCAGAGGGGCCTGGAGATGTGACTGATGAACAAAGACAATGTTATTTTAGAGTCAGGAATGTCTGCATTGTTCATTCCGGACCCTGTTTTGAAATGGCATATTTTTTTAATTTGCGTGAAATTGGCCAAATTGCCAATTTCTCACCACTTTATTGGGTAGTTGAAATCAGTAAATGGGCCGTTTCTTGTACTCAGTCGATAGAACAAATGGAGTCCTCAAGAAATAGCTTTGAATTTGGTCGACTGGGACAATGGAATTAGCCAAAAATAGGGCTCAAAGTGGGCGAAATCACCGATTCGTAAATATTGCCGAGGTTGCTAACTTCGTTAGAGCGTAATTTTGTAAGTTTTCCATCAGATTTCATACTTTTGGTGTTACTACCATTGGGAAAAGATTCTCTGTCATTTCATAAGAATTTTTTTTTTTTTTTTTCAAATATTTTGTGACACCAGGAGACACCTCAGGATTTAGGGTTGCAACAGTCAAAGGGTTAAAACCCATAAAACAGACCAGGGGGTTGAAGGGGGCCTTACCCATCCTCAGGAAATTTGGCAAAAATTAAATATTTCTGCTACTTTGAGTTCAATTTCAAGTTACTTCCAGTCCTTAAACCAACCAGAATCATTTCTCTTTCAGTAGTGTATCTTCTATTCTATCAAATGATACCAAGGAGCCAATAAAATCATAAAAAACATCCTGAAAACATCTGAAAGTCAGTCATTTCAAAACAAACACAAGGTTGGAGTTCTGATTTTCCCATGATGCTCCACATGGGGCAGGATTTTTTTTATACTGTGCACACTCACCACAGATCCACTCTCATTTATAGGCCTAAATTTACTCCTCAGCTTATCTGAGTGAGCTAAGCTTATGACGTAGAGCTCCGTGATGGACCCCTGGCCTCAATGACTAAATTCTATGACAGCCACTCAAAGAGTTAATATGTATACATTATATAACCAATTTTTAATACTATCTGTAAGTAAAAACAATACTGAATATTAAATATTGGGCAAATGTTCTTTGGAAGAAAAGACTAAAATTTGATATGAAATATTATGGCTTGGGAACTCTGTTCCATTATTATTCAGGTTTTTATGGGAAAATATGTTCTGAGTGCTGATCATTTGATATATGTATGATAATTTTCAGGAGCCCTACACTATTGAGCTATTTATCACTCGTTTTATAGCATTCATATTGAGGATTGAGTGTTAAATTGATTAATTCCTCAAGTCATTTCCTGATCAGCCAGGCTGTGGTGCCTACATTCCACTGCATGTTGCTAGCACCAACAGCCTGATTGATCAGGCTATCAATCAGGTCTGAGACTGGAATCAGCAACAGGTAGAGATAACAGGTGAGATTTTGTATCTCCATGCAGAAGTGGATAAAGGTTCTTCTGTAATTCATGTGTGTTGTAACAGGTGACTAAAATGCCAGGAGCACGGGGCTAGTAACCCCTTCTCCTGTATAAATTGCTAAATTTAAAAAGAAAATTTTTCGTTTTTCTTTTTGGGTCACCCTGCCTTGGTGGGATATGACTGGTTTGCTGAAAAAAAAAATGTAAAATATTAAAAAGGGGAATAATTTTTTTTATAGTAATTCCAAAAACTCTCTTGATCCACATCTCACCTAATATAAGAACTGAAATTTCAGATCTATTGAAGATGAAGCAACCTTCCTCTGTGATGCTGAATGTGTCAAGAGATCCCTCCCACGATGTCTCTCTCAGCTTAGCTCGAGAAATACCTGTGTTCAACACTATAGCATCTGGTAATAACAGTGAGAGTGCAAAACATATTGCAGAGTTGTCAAACCTGCAACAGAACAGTGTGATTAACATCATATCTGAAGCCAACATCAACCACTTTGGAAACAGCAGCTCTTCAGCACCCAAGAAAGTAAGATTAATTTTCTTTTCTGAGGCAGATTATAACTTAGATATATATTTTAGAGTCTAGGTAGTAGGTTAGTAGACAGCAGCCACCCAGGGAGGTACTACCCTCCTGCCAAGTGAGTGTAATACAGAAGCCTGTTATTGTTTTACGTGATGGTAGGATTGCTGGTGTCTTTTCTGTCTTATAAACATGCAAGATTTCAGGTACGTTTTGTTACTTCTACTTACACTTAGGTCACACTACACATGCATATACATGCATATATATATATACATGTATATATCTTCTTCTTTCAACGCACCAGACATATCCCACTGAGGTGGGGTGGCCCAAAAGGAAAAACGAAAGTTTTGCCTTTTAAATTTAGTAATATACGTATACAGGAGAAGGGGTTACTAGCCCATTGCTCCCAGCATTTTAGTCGCCTCTTATGACATGCATGGCTTACGGAGGAAGAATTCTATTCCACTTCCCCATGGAGATAAGAGGAAATAGACAAGAACAAGAACTAGAAAGAAAATAGAAGAAAACCCAGAGGGGTATGTATATATATGCTTGTACATGTATGTGTAGTGTGACCTAAGTGTAAGTAGAAGTAGCAAGAAGTACCTGAAATCTTGCATGTTTATGAAACAGAAAAAAGGATACCAGCAGTCCTACCATCATGTAAAACAATTACAGGCTTTCGTTTTACACTCACTTGGCAGGAGGGTAGTACCTCCCTGGGCAGTTGCTGTCTACCAACCTACTACCTAGGATATATATATATATATATATATATATATATATATATATATATATATATATATATATATATATATAATATATATATATTAATTTTATTATATTATATTATATTATATATTTTATATATAAAATATATATATATATATATATATATATATATATATATCTATATATCTATATATCTATATATCTATATATCTATATATATATGTATATATTATATATATATTATATATATTTTATATATATATATATATATATATATATATAATGTTATAGAATATATATATATATATATATATATATATATATATATATTATATATTTATATATATATATATATATATATATATATATATATATATATATATATATATATAATATATATACAGTGGACCCCCGCATAGCGAATTTAATCCATGCAAGAGGGCTGGTCGTTATGCGAAATGTTTGCTATGCGAATTAATTTTCCCCATAAGAAATAATGGAAAAAAAATTTAAACCCGTGCAAGACACCCCAAAAGTATGAAAAAAAATTTTTTTTTACCACAAAAAAAATGTTAATTTTAGTACACACAACTGAAAAAGGCATGCACAATTACATGACACTTACTTTTATTGAAGATCTGGTGATGATTGATGGGATGGAGGAGGGGAGAGAGAGTTTTTGTGTTTAGAAGGGGAATCCCCTTCCATTAGGATTTTGAGGTAGCAAGTCCTTTTCGGGGGTTTTACTTCCCTTCTTCTTTTAATGCCACTGGGACCAGCTTCAGAGTCACTGGACTTTTTTTTGCACAACATATCTGTCCATAGTGGCCTGTACCTCTCGTTCCTTTATGATTTGTCTAAAGTGGTTCACAACAGTGTCATTGTAACAGTCACCAGCACGGCTTGCAATAGCTGTGTTGAGGGTGATTTTCATCAAAAAAGGTTTGCATTTCAAGCCATTTTGCACACATTTCCTTTAAATCTTTGAAGTAGGCAATTCCTTCAATTTCCCCTCTCCCCTCCTTTAAACCCAGTTTCCCCCACAGGTCTGGCCTCTTTGCTCTTGAAGTTGATCTATCAGCTCATCAGTGGTTAGTTCTTCATTGTCCTCCTCCACCAACTCTTCCACATCCTCCCCACTAACCTCCACCCAAGGATTTCCCCCAAATTTTCCCACAAATTGATTCCTCAACTGGTATACTACTCCTCTCAGGGTTAGCCTCAAACCCTTCAAAATCCCTTTTGTCTACACATCTGGCACAGTTTCTCCAAGCAGAGTTCAAGGTTCTCTTTAGTCACCCCCTCCAAGCCTTACCATAAGGTTTACACAATTGAGGATATTAAAGTGACCTTCCAAAACTCTTTTAGAAGTCAATCAGTGTCTGTGGTCACTTCAAAGCACTTTTGAAACAGAGCTTTTGTGTACAGTTTCTTGAAGTTGGAAATGACCTGCTGGTCCAGGGGCCCTGCAGAGAGGGGGTGGGTATTAGGAGGCAAAAACTTCACCTTAATGAAGCTCATGTCCCCATAAAGTCGCTCTGCCAGTCTGTAGGATGACCAGGGGCATTGTTAACACCAGGAGGCACTTAAGGTCTAATTTTTTTTCAGTTAGGTAATCTTCACATTGGGGGCAAATTGCATGGTGTAACCAGTTTATAGAAAAATTCCCTAGTGACCCATGCCTTACTGTTTGCCCTCCACAGCACACAAAAAAATTTTATCCTTGAGGACTTCTTTTCCCTGAACGCTCTGGGAGTTTCAGAGTGATACACTAATAAAGGTTTAAAACTTTGAAATCCCCACTACATTGGCACACATTCAACAAAGTAAGCCTGTCTTTCATAGGCTTATGTCCTGGGAGTCCCTTTTCCTCCTGAGTTTTTTGTAGGTCCTGCTTGGCATTTTCTTCCAGAACGGCCTGTTTCATCACAATTAAAACACTTGTTAGGGTTTCCAGTCCTTCAGTTTCTATGTACTCCTTGAATTCATGCACATATTTTTCAGCCGCTTTGTGGTCCGAACTGACAGCCTCACCCTTTCCGTAATCACACTATGGATGCCACTACGCTTCTTAAATCTCTCAAACCAACCTTTGCTGGCCTTAAATTCACTCACATCATCACTAGTTGCAGGCATTTTTTTTAATTAAATCGTCATGCAACTTCCTAGCCTTTTCACATATGATCGCTTGAGAGACGTACTCCTGCTAGCTGTTTTTCATTTATCCACACCAAAAAGTCTCTCAAAATCTTCCTCACTTGCGATCTTTGTTTCGAAACACAGTTAACCTTTGGCAACAAAAGCTTCCTTGATTGCCGTTTTCTTGCCCACATAGAAGCGATGGTTGATTTTGGTTTCTTGTACAACCTGACCAGGTCGGGGATACGTACTCCACTTTCATACTTATCAATGATCTCTTTCTTCATTTCAATGGGTATTCTTACCCTTTGAGGTGTAGGGTTGGCACTAGAAGCTTTCTTGGGGCCCATGGACACTTATTTTCCACAAACAGCACCGAAAACACTGTAATAATACGAAATATTCCCAGTGTATGCTTGAATGTTACCGCGGAGGCTGGCTGGTAAACAATGGGACGGGCGGCACATGTGAGGCTGGCTGAGGCGCACATTGGACGCGTCTGACGAAGGTCGCTGAGCGGGTTTTTGTCCACTATGCGGGGCAAAATTTTTTGCGAACAAAGCGTTCGCTATGCGGGTTGTTCGCTATGCAAGGCGTTCGCTATGGGGGGGGGGTCCACTGTATATATATATATATAATATATATATATATATATATATATAATATATATAATATTATATATTATAATATATATATATATATTATAATATATATATATATATATATAATATATATATTATATATATATATATATATATATATATGAATTTATGAAAGTATTTTCTTTTTGGGGATTTTCTTTCTTTTTTTTGGGTCACCCTGCCTCGGTGGGAGACGACCAACTTGTTGAAAAAAAAAAAAATTATATATATATATAGGTAGTAGGTTGGTAGACAGCAACTGCCCAGGGAGGTACTACCCTCCTGCCAAGTGAGTGTAAAACGAAAGCCTGTAATTGTTTTACATGATGGTAGGACTGCTGGTATCCTTTTTTCTGTTTCTTTTTCTTTTTCTGTTTCTTTTTCTGTCTCATAAACACGCTAGATAACAGGGATATCTTGCTACTCCTACTTACACTTTGGTCACACTTCACAGACACGCACATGCATATATATATACATACATCTAGGTTTTTCTCCTTTTTCTAAATAGCTCTTGTTCCTCTTTATTTCTTCTATTGTCCATGGGGAAGTGGAAAAGAATCTTTCCTCCGTAAGCCATGCGTGTTGTATGAGGCGACTAAAATGCCGGGAGCAATGGGCTAGTAACCCCTTCTCCTGTAGACATTTACTAAAAAAGAGAAGAAGAAAAACTTTATAAAACTGGGATGCTTAAATGTGCGTGGATGTAGTGCGGATGACAAGAAACAGATGATTGCTGATGTTATGAATGAAAAGAAGTTGGATGTCCTGGCCCTAAGCAAAACAAAGCTGAAGGGGGTAGGGGAGTTTCGGTGGGGGGGAAATAAATGGATTAAATCTGGAGTATCTGAGAGAGTTAGAGCAAAGGAAGGGGTAGCAGTAATGTTGAATGATCAGTTATGGAAGGAGAAAAGAGAATATGAATGTGTAAATTCAAGAATTATGTGGATTAAAGTAAAGGTTGGATGCGAGAAGTGGGTCATAATAAGCGTTTATGCACCTGGAGAAGAGAGGAATGCAGAGGAGAGAGAGAGATTTTGGGAGATGTTAAGTGAATGTATAGGAGCCTTTGAACCAAGTGAGAGAGTAATTGTGGTAGGGGACCTGAATGCTAAAGTAGGAGAAACTTTTAGAGAGGGTGTGGTAGGTAAGTTTGGGGTACCAGGTGTAAATGATAATGGGAGACCTTTGATTGAACTTTGTATAGAAAGGGGTTTAGTTATAGGTAATACATATTTTAAGAAAAAGAGGATAAATAAGTATACAAGTTATGATGTAGGGCAAAATGACAGTAGTTTGTTGGATTATGTATTAGTAGATAAAAGACTGTTGAGTAGACTTCAGGATGTACATGTTTATAGAGGGGGCACAGATATATCAGATCACTTTCTAGTTGTAGCTACACTGAGAGTAAAAGGTAGATGGGATACAAGGAGAATAGAAGCATCAGGAAGAGAGAGGTGAAGGTTTATAAACTAAAAGAGGAGG